CATAGTTTTGCTTAATTTGTTTCAAGTATGAATTGAAATTAGCATATTTATTTTTCTTTACTAAGAAAAAAGAAAGTCTTTGTTGTGCCTGAAAATTAAGTTACATGTCTTTATTTTCTATATTGAATTAAACCTGTTAACATTCCTCAGTGCAAAAAAAAAAAAGATAGTTGGTGTAGTAGAACTGCAGACTTTGCTGTTTTTTGGAGACCAAATTATTTCAGTATGAAAAACCTCAATAAAAATTAGGTGGATACTACCTATTTTTAAACTAAGCAGCAATATAGTTCTGTTTGATAAGTAATTGATTAGGTCAGACTATTAAGCCATTTAATCTGGCGTGTACATTGTGTGTGATAAAAGGAATCCAACTGTGAATTTGAGTGTATTAAATAATCTTCAGGAAGTTCCACAAAGAACATTTGAATGCCTTGAAACTTGCAATAATGCATGTTTGTTCCAAACACATTTGCTTTGCCTAGGTTTTGCCCATCAGGTTGAAGAAATGCTAATCTTGTCGCATTCAGCAGCTGGGTTTTTTCAATATTCTTTTCCTTCTCCTAGGGGTTAATTAGCCTTCTTTCAAAATGTGGCCTATTTAGCTGTAGATTCACATGATTCAGCCAGAGCTGGCTGTACAAAGCAGAACCGTTAACAGGCGGGTGTGTCCAACTGCTTAATTAGCCAGAATAAAAAGGTCCTTTGTCAAACAAGCATCTGTTGCTCTTGACACACCTGACAGCCACATTAGGCAAGGATGACTAGACTGAAATTGTACATGTCTCTCCTGCAAGAATATATAACTCATTTACATATGGGCTACATCATGGACAAACTACAGGGGTTTAACTTATCAAAATGGATTAATGTGACTGCATTTGTGGCTGATAAACAAATATCACTTGAAAGAAGGCTGTGAAGGAACTAAACTAACCAAATTACTCCCAAACATAAACAAAGCACCAGAAACTCCCGGTAGATGAATGGTTACGCCTCAAATGTATACACAAACCTTTATAGTGGGCCTAAAACAAAACCTCCAAGTAAAGCATGCTAAGATGCTACCTTCATATGATGATCTTTGCTCTGTAGAAATGAGCTACCAGAATACGCTGAATGTGTCGGTAGATTATTCCTCAAACATGCTTTAACATTGTAATTGACCTGCAGTTAAATCAGGTCTTCAGAATTAATCAGTTAGAATGCCCCTGGAAACATTCTTATTAGTTGGGTTTTATTATGGCCTTAATAGAAAGAGAGAGGATATTTCCTAATTTAAATGTCAGAGATGAAAGAGATGTCTGTCCCTTGTTATTGGAAGCATACATCAAATACAATTGATTTTAAGTCCCAAGACTGCTGTTCAGACCAATAGTCTCTAGCTTTTCATTTGGAACCCCTGTCATCGTGATATTGCAAAATAAATATACAGTGATCCCTCATCTATCGCAGGAGTTACTTTCCAGAGACCCCCTCCATAGGTGATAATCCTCGAAGTAGCGGCGTTATATTTATTTTATTATTTACATATATTTTAAGACTTTATAAACCCATCCCACACTCCTATAAACCTTTCCCACACTCTTATAAACACTTCATATGCTCTTAAACACTTTCTACACTCTTAAACCTACGTAATTTTAACGACATATAAAATTCTGTATGGGTACAGTGTACTGCAAAATCCTGAGATACAGTGAAAACTCCGTGATACAGAATTAGATATATTAAAAAAACAAACAAACCCTGCGATACAGTGAAGCCCCAGTAAGTGAACCATGCTATATCAAGGGAGGACTGTATGTAGTGGTGACATGATATAGGCTTTGGGATTCTACAAACCTAGGTTTGACTTCGGGCTCTTCCTGTACTAAGCTTTGTGTGTAGCTTTTAGCAAGATATTTAGTCTATCTGTGCCTCAGTTTCCTCATTTGTTAAGTAGAAATAATAACACTTCTACTGCCCTGGCTGGTGTGGCTCAGTGGATTGAGCACTAGCCTGCAAACTAAGGTTTTTGCCGGGGCACATGCCTGGGCTGCAGGCCAGGTCCCCAGTGCAGGGTGTGCAAGAGGCAACCACACATTGATGTTTTTCACCTTCTCTTTCTCCCTGCATTCCCTTCTCTATAAATAAATAAATAAATAAAATCTTTTAAAAATATAACATTTCCATAATGGGGGTCTTCTGAGGATTAAATAATATGTACTGCCAGCACTTAACACATTGTGTAGTACCTGGGAAAGCCTTGTTAAATGAGAGAATTGATTATGGTGATGACTTTTTTGAGACAGTCTCTGGAAGGGATATGATTGAGACACTCTTAGGGCATAAGGCCTTGGCAAAAAGAGCCTCTTAACATTGAGGACAACAATGAAATAAGAGGAGAATGAAGTTGTGTCTACTGAGTAAAAATGTAGACAGGTCTAAGAGACTTAAGTTCTTATCAATTGGCATGACCCTATAATTAAAGAGCCAAGGGAATTAGATGATGAACAGTAATCTGAGAGTAAACAGAAAATGTTCTGGGACAATTACTTGGTTGTCCTGGATTGGTCTTTATGTGTTAGTTTGTCTGGTAAATTATGGGTCATAGATCATAAACCGCTGTGTAGACTGGTATGCAATACAATGTACAGACACATAAGTGAGCCTAGGTAAAGCTCCCAGCCAGCATTTGTATAAATAGGAGGAAGTTTGAGTGTGAGTTACTTTATTGCGTGAAACTCAATCCACCCTGATGAAGTAGCTTAATGAAGAAGCCATAATTGACAACCTCAGTCTTCCTCACTTGTTACTACGCTGACAAAGGCCACCACCTATCTTACATTTGGGAAGAGGGGCTAAGAAAGCCTCGCTGAAGATAATATCTAACGTCTGGTTTATTCCTCATTCCCTATAGAAAGGCATTACCTTACTCTCACTAATAGCTCCTCTGCTGTAGCAGAAATGGCATCAATAGTATATAAGTATGTAATGAATCAAAGGATGCTGACTTTTGCTTTTCTTGTGAGTGGGTATTCTTTTCCCCTTCGTGATGGAATAAAGAAAAAGAAGAATCACAGATAGGGTCCCTAATATGTGTATCCCTTCCCCAATTTTTGAGGACCATGGTCTTTCAGTAATCTTAATTAGGCAAGAGTTTTATCTAGCAAATACTGTCATTCTCAAACATTTTTGGGCATATTGTGATCTCAACACTATACATAGTGGTATGTGTTTACGTACATTTGCATGGAAAGCAATGTTACATTTTTGTTTTTGTTTTTAAATGATCTACCATTTGAGATGTTTCAAGTAAAAATTTGAAATTTTAGCTTCTTTCAGAAAATTGGAAGAACTGGCAACTATGGCTTAGCCTTCCTACAAAGTCACAATTTTTTGGAGCTGAACACTAGCTGACCCAAATAAATGGGGTGGTAGCCATAGTCCCCATCACATTCCTTCTGTTGAAGCCCCTGGGCACCATCTTCACTCTGTGTGTCTGAGGTTCCTCCTCTGTAAATGGAGTTTCTGATCATACCAGCAATATTGGATTGCTACATAGGCTAATTCATTTATGAATTAACACGTAAAGCATTTAGAAGGGTCCTTAGCAAATGTTAAACACTCAGTTGATGTTAGCTGTTACCACTATAGCTTTTGTGTGTGCTAAGATTTATTGTGCTGCTTTAGGGTTTTGACTAACAAAAGAATAAGAATAATCACCTAAAGTGAGGCCAGTGTCAAGGCCTAGAAAGAAAAATAAGCACAGATGCAAAGTGAGGAGGCCTAATCCCATGTCTACTGCTTTCACCTTGAATGAGTCTCTTAACCTCTTTGGGCTTTAGTTTCCTTATTTATAAAATAAAAGAGTAGATTAGATGTCTTCAGAGGTCCATTTGTAAAATTGATTGAGATGATAGAAAAGGTTTGGGTAACAAAAGATTCTGAGAGGGGTTAATTTTCTACTTGAAAGAACTGAATATGCTTTCAGAATTTTCTTAGGGAAAATTAATGTTTACCATATTGTCCACAGATTTAAACCATAATGCAGTATTTTTCTTAGGCTCCAATTAAATATTGTTTATCCCCAGGAAAGAAAATTAGAATTCTTGTCCCTGCTCATGAACAAAAAATTAATGTTTATTCTATTGACTATATAAGTAGCACAAGGGAATGTCAAGGCCAGGTGGTCTGAGAAACCACACTTTAGTTAGAGTACATGCTGCAAAATTTGATTCTGTGTTAGTAGGTCGGCACATGAGAACTGAAAATAGTGCCATTTTGAATTGTGAATGACAAGAGAAAATATTTCATGTGTTTGTTTACAGATCTCATTTATATAATAGTGGTCTTTACCCATCTTTCAAAGTATGACACATTATTGATATAAGCTATTTTTGTGTAAGAAGGTAATTCAACTTTGATTTTAGTACCATATCATATCACGGAAAATTAGTGAGCTTGATCCTTTGGCTAAGTTTAGGGTATATCAATTGTTTTTTGGATATATACTAATCTTTTTAGATCAGTGAATAGCAAGTTTGAAAGTTGGAAAGACCTTAGAAATAGTTTTTCCTAAATTGTACACCTTTGGTGACATCCTAATAGTCTATAAAAGGGTCTAGAATGTATAGTTTATGACATATTTGATACAGTTAAAGTTTGTGTTCTGAGAATTGAATAGCTTTACATAATTTTGGGCTATAGTTTATAAATTAGTTGAAACAATTTATAACAGATAAGACCTAACTAAGGAAGGTAGATTTCAACAAAGTTCAACCTTTATAACCCTAAGATAATGAGGTGCTAATGGGGATTTAAAAAATCTGGATTGGTAATTTTCTATATTTAAAAAGTGGTGAAAATAACTATAAATATGCATGGAATATTATGACAATATGTTGGAGTAAGAAGTATTCTGAGAGTTCAAAGTGTCAGTATAGGATATTGAGAACAAATGCAATGCCACTAGTCATGCAAAGGGAGTGTTTTGAACCTTTTCTGTTTTAATATTTCAGAGACCATCATGCAGACATCAGAGACTGGGTCTGACACAGGTTCGACAGTGACTTTACAGACATCTGTGGCTAGTCAAGCAGCAGTGCCTACACAGGTGGTACAGCAAGTACCAGTACAACAACAGGTAAGGAGCTGCTTTCTCAGAGAAGATGCTGTGCCTCTCATCATGCAGACACGGCTGTGTTCAGCGATGACTTGGATTATGCTTTTGGCACAATGGGTGCTGAGATAGGCCTAGTTCACTTTATAGGTTAATTTAGCAAATATTTCTTGAGCATTTCCAATCTAGGTTCTTTTCGTGCTGGACTGTAGGGAATACAAAGGTAAATATTCAAACCATAATTCCTATCCTAAAAGAGCCTCTTACCTCTTAAAGAGAACATTTGTTTCTGACTAGACCACGCTAAGAATTTAGCTTCCTCTTTGCCTTTCCCTATTCTTTATCTTACCTTCTTATTTTTTCATATTGAAATGCAAGCAATAATATTTTTATATAATTGATTCACAGCACTTCTTAATAAAGGAGAAAATGACTGTAACTTACTGGGCAGAGATTTTGCCTTTGTGATATTTTAGAAAGTGCCTGGGTGGCTAATAAATACTGTTTAATGAAACTTAAATTATCTTACAGGTCTGGAGATCTGATTCATTCCATTAAAAAAATTGAGAATGAATTTCTCATCACATGTTTACTATAGGGCTTATTCATATTCGACACTTGGCTTTTTTTTCTTTTTGGAAGATACTGACAAAATAATGCTATTCATGCCAGCTGATAGTTCTGCATGTGGGTTGTGAACACATTGGTCTGTCGTTTCTTCTAGAGTGGCGAGAAAATAAGTGAGAAAGATCATATAATGAAGTATTTTGAAATTTGAGATTTGCCTGTAATTTCTTAGTATCAAGGAGAATCTTTAGCAAATGCTGCTCTTACAATTATAAATAAGCAGTTAGGGAGAGGAATATCTTTTCCTAACTGATAGGCAGAGGGATTCAAGGTTTTATTCTTTCCAGGAGATAGAGGTGGGCTTGGCAGGGGGAGTGGTAAGAATCATAAAGGGTCTTTGAGTCTCAGAATAAATAGACATCTGAAGTCTTCTTTTTTTTTTTAATTGTAGCACACACTTCTTCCTGGTGCCTACTCCCCCTCACACACACCCAAACACACAAAACACATACACATTCGTACACTGGCAGGTTATTAGGTTGAACTATCTATAGTTGTAATCTATAAAAACAACAGTTTCATATGTTTCAACATGTTAATTGTGTTTCTTACTCTTATACCTTTTACCTTTCTTATTCATTATTAAAACTTAATCTCCTCAAAATGGTGTTTTAAAATCCTCTGCTATTATTGATGTTGTCTCTGTTTCAAGACTCTGTAAACATTATTCAGAAAAGGGTAGCTTATGACATACCCAAAGACCAAGTGGAGAACGGTGAGCGCGATGTTTTTGTCTCGTTTGTGGATGAAAACCGGCCTTGGAAGTGTCTGTCTCTACCAGCCATGTGGTGGACATCATGTTCTAGCTCCAGAAAGTGCCCTCTTGCGACATTAAAATGGCCCTCTCTCGGACCCTTTTCTTCCTCCCTCCGTTTCTTTTCTCCATTTTTAGAAAACTTTTTATTGAATTTAGATATCATGAGATGATTACTGCAGGTCTTATATAGTAGTGTAAAGAGTTCAATAGTTCGGCAAGTATGTTATTAAACAAAAAGCAGCCCTCAACTTCCCTCTAATCCCATGAACCTCTCAGAGACAATGACTTTTGTCTCTTTCTTCCTATTATTTTGATATTGACTTTCATGTCTTTGAAAATACTACTTTGTCTTAAAAATACTACTTATTTTAATGTTTTTGATTATTTTAGCTTTAAGAATTATCTTACCATGGCCCTCTTTCTGGTCTCTATCACACACACACACACACACACATACACACTTTCCATCCCTTGTGCTCCTAGTATACTAGATTGAACTGTATGCAGCTTTTTATCTACAAAAACAATATCATAGGTTTCAACCATACACACACACACACACACACACACACACACACATATTTTTAATCCTCAGCCAAGGATATGTATTGATTTTTAGAGAGAGAGGGAGGGGGAGAGGGAGAGAAATAGAGGGACAGAAAGAACGAGAAACATCAATGTGAGAGAAATATTGGTCCCACCAGGGATTGAACCTGCAACCTGGGTAAGTGCCCTGATAGGAATCGAACCCGCAACCTTTTGGTGTATGGGACAGCACTCCAACCAACTAACCACTCAGCCAGAACAATCTAATAGTTATATTTATATTTTAATTTTGGTAGATCATTTACTCAATGCATGTGAGTGTGTGTGTGTGTGTGTGTGTGTGTGTGTGTGTGTATACACATACACTATTCAAATCTAGGCATGTAGTAATTTATGGTTATCTCTCTTACCTATAAAACTTATTGGATTTAATGATCAGATATTTTCTTAGGGAAGTCTCTCAGAGCACTCTGACCTACTCCAGTGTGGATTCCATTTGCTGTGGTCAGCTCCTACCTTGGGATCTCCTTTTGCCATCATTCTGGGGTTTTCTTATATTAGGTTTCCTTAAGACCCTGGATCAGTGTCTTAAATCCTTGATTTGCTTGAGCACAGCTTCCAGTAACTTCCTAACAAATGGTAAGTGTGTGAGCTCTTATGTGTCTGTGAAAGAATTTAATTATCAGTTGTTTGGTAGTTGGATAGGTACAGACTTTTGGTTTGGAAATAATTTTACTTAGACTTTTGAAAGACTTACTTCAGTATGCTCTAGTTTACAAGATTGGTATGGAAAAGTCAAACACTATTCTGGTCACTGATCCTTTGTATGTGTCCTATGTGATTTATTTTTCTCTCTGAAAGTCTACAGAATGGTTTAAATCCCAGTTTCTTGAAATTTATGTTGTGCCTTGATGTGGGTCTATTTTTGTACAAAAATAGAACCTTGGTGGTCCTTTTCAATCTGAACATTCATGCAATTCAGTTCTGGCAAAATTTTTTCAATTTTTTCTTTTATGATTACCTCCTCTCTTTTTTCTCCTTTTTTATATTTTGGGCTTTTTTGTTCTACTTTGAATTTTTATCTTCCAGCTTATCTATTACTTTTCACTTGTGCTATTTTAGTTGTAATTTTCAAGAACTTTAAAAAAGTTTCCTGTACCTTTTCATAATATCATCTTATTTTGTGATTATACCTTTTTATCTTTCTGAAGATATTAATTTTTTAAATATTAGTCTCTGTTTTTTAAAGATTTTATTTACTTTTAGAGAGGGGAAGGGAGGGAGAAAGAGAGGGAGAGAAACATCAATGTGTTGTTGCTTCTGGTGCACTCCCTACTAGGGGCCTGGTCTGCAACCCAGGCATGTACCCTGAGTGGGAATAGAACCAGCGACACTGTGGTTCACAGGCTGGTGTTTAGTCCACTGAGCCACACCAGCCAGGGCCTGTCTCTGTTTATTTAGCCAGGTTTTTTAAGGTGCTTTTCTTTGTCTCTGTCATTCATTTTAGAAGCTGTTCTCAATGCCTGATAATCTTTGGATGTTTATTCATATTTAAAATTCTGTGGATAAAAAGCTGGTTTGAATGCATCAGGAAGTCTCGTTGACTTCAATATAGAGGGCTTTTTAATTGGAGACCCTCTGATGTTTAGTATTTTTGTTTTTTCCTCTTGGGCTGGTCATATTTTTAAAGAAGAGTTCTCTAGCTTCCTGCCTAGCAGATGAATGGCTCCTAGGAGATGAGTAGGGGAAGACAACTGGGTATTTCTTGTACTAATTCAATTAATCATTCTCTTTTTTTATACGGTATCAACATTGCCTGTGCTTGGTCTTCCTCAATGCAGAGATTAAATCAAAACATAAACCTCCAAACTTTGACCAAACTTGTGGAGGCCAGTCACCTCATGGCATGGGATCGATGGAGGGGTTCTGCTTGCTTCTTAAATAGAGTTACTTTTTAGATTAGACCCATCTTTTAAAACCCCCCAATTAAATTGTTACTGGAAGAGTAACCAGCCATAAATAGAAGATTATACATACACACACACTTTGTTCATCTCCTCATAAAAAATAATCTCATGTGCCCATGGACCACACTTTAAAAACATTGTACTATGCCATATGGCTCATTCCCAAAGGCATATTTTTTGGTTACTCAATTTCTTTCTTTCCTCTTGGACATTCAAGGCAGGTGATACCTTACATCCCCTTAATACCAAGAACTCTCATTTGCTTTTTGTCAGCAAAGTATTTTATTTCACATAGTGGATTAGTGGGATATTTATCTGGAGATGCCTGTTTAGTTGTCCTTCCAGGTTTATTTAGAAGGATTGTTTTCTGTAATTTGTTTTCACTAGAACAGTGTTAACTTTGAATCTCCCTGGTGCATTATGACAGTGTCCTTGTGGATGTAAATTGTCTATAACTGATGAGATTTGTGCTATAGTAATTTCTTATTGCTCTGACTTGTCTATAATCTTTGTATTATTAATGTGCTAATGTCATTGTGAGTTTTCAGACTGTAGTAGAATACCTTTTAAAGTCTTCTAGCTTTTGTCGCTGACCCAAGATGGATATCAAAATCATGGCATTGATGTCAAGAGTAGTTACTCCTATTGATTAAACTTTTCATTGTGCCCTTGCTTTGACCACTTTGATGTAAAGAGAAAGTCTATAGCAAATTTTTTAGATGTTGAGATATATAAAATTATATATATTGAATGCTGGTATATAAGTGAAAATTTTAGGATCATAATATCTTTATATATTTCCTATATATATGAAAATTTATATATATGTGAAAATCTTAAGATCATAATATATGGTTCTATTTCTTTAAATTCTTAAATGTTCTAATTTCACTTTATCACTACCAAATAAAATGTTGCTTCTAAAATTACTTCTATGGTTTTTCATTTACTCTAAGTGTTCTCAGAGTCAACTAACCACCTTTTGTTATACAATGAGCAGGGATGAGAAATTCTGAGCAAAGATTGCAAGGTCTTATTATATAATAGTTCATCAACATTTTTTTCTTTTGTAGTTTTTCACTATTTCATAAAACACCATAGAATCTCAGCTTCCAAGTAAGGTGTTG